GTCGAGAGATTAGGTGGAAAAGGCAGGAAAGTACCAGTTTTGATCAATGGGCAGCGGGTAGAAGCTTTGCTGGATACAGCATGTTTTCAGTCAGTTGTTTTGTCCAGTTTGGTCCCTAGGGAAAAGTGGAGTCAGGATACTTCAACCATAAGTTGCATTCATGGGGATGAACATGTTTACCCCACAGCAGAGGTCTATCTAACTGTAGGAGGCCAAACCTTTCTGTTGCCTGTAGCATTAGCCTCAACATTGCCATACCCAGTCATTCTTGGTAATGATCTTCCTACACTTTATGACCTAGTGCACAAGCCAGGTTGCAAGTCTGACAGGGAAAGATGTGAGGTTGAGAGCCTTGGGGCAACGGTCAGGGAGCCACTTAGCCAAGGTGAGGTGAAACCAGTCCTACAGCCAGTCAAGCCTTGTAATGTTACCACTAGAGCGCAGAAACACCGGGCGGAGTGGAGACACATGGAGGAGAGCAAAATGGCCAAGATCCATAAGTGTCGCAGGAATGAGGTACTGTACTCTTTCGGGAGAGGAAGGATGAAATGTGACGACGGTAACTTCGTCACTGTGGACTGACGGCTTCGGGCCTTGTAACATTGCACATGTAGTTTGGTTTGGGGGTGTTCCCCAAACCCGTTTTGTCTGTTGCTCCTGATTGTGTTCACCTGGTGCCCTGTGTTGTCTCCTCCCCCCTCACCTGTGTCTAATTGCTCCCCCCCCACCTGTGTCTAATTGCTGATTAGTGTGTGGGTATTTAGGCTCTGTTTCCCTGTCTGTGTGGGTGGTAGTGTGTGTGAGATCCTGGTGGCTGGTGACTGTGCTCACGTGAACAGCAGATTGAGGCCGTGTCATATGTTTGTGAGCAATAAATGCCCACACCGGGTTGTATTTTGGACGTTCTGCCTCTGCCTCCTTGCTTGGTCGGGCCGCTCAATTGTCAGCGTCACATTTCTCCACGCAGCGAGAAATTACTCCATTGGACTCCTTTCATAACATTATAACATAACGGTGTAACCCCCCGCGCTGCTATTGGCTATCGCTCCAACAAATTGTACATGATAGGCTAAGGGGCGTCCCGCTGCTTATCACCAGAGGTGGGAGTAAGTCCTACATGTGCAAGTCATGAGCAAGTCTCAAGTCTTGACCTACAAGTATCAAGCAAGTCCCAAGTCACTGTGGTGAGTCAAGCAAGTCAAGTCAAGTCATACGAAATTCTGATGAATAAGCCCGCATCAGTTAAAAGACAGTGGTTATGAAAATGGATTTAACCCACACTATGATCTTCATTACATACACAGTTAATCATTTGAAATCTAATTTAGACCGATGACAATCATATTAGATTAATATTAACCCTAGAACTGCAGACAATATAGCTAGGACTCAATCAAAAAGTCAGAATTCCAGGTAAGAAAATCATATATGGCATTTGCCATTACACATTTAATTTAAATTTCTGTTAACACTAGAACTGCCAACAGCGTCAGCACCTACATAGATATCATTTTCAAATCATTTAATTTGTTCCTCTTCATAATTTCCTTATAAACTACTGTAAGTAGGATGATTTAAAACTCACTTAATTGGGTTAATTTTGAAATTGCTTCAGTTTATCATCATAACAGATCAAAAAGTTCAGATTCCTTTTACAATAAATCAAGGAATGATGCACTTCTACAAACAAAAACAACATAATTAAAACATTTAAACAAACTACTAAAAGTAGAACTACATTATTCAAAAGTTTACAGCAGCGCCATATAGACTGAGAGTTACGTCATCTCCGTTCACTCCAATGGACCACTTTTTTACAGCAATGGCGGATCGTGGAGCCTCTCAATCGTTCCCCGGAAGTTAGCGCCAAGGCTAGCAGAGCTGTAGAGTTGCAGCATAATAGACCGTTCGTGATGGACTTTTAAAGGTAAGAAGAAGTTTAAAGATTTATATTGCGGATATTATCAGTACATCTGATTCAAATTAACATGTGTATTAAAGGATGTCGGTGGATTATCCCTAAATTAGTAGATTTAAGGAACGTTTACAGATAACAGATTAAGCTAGGATACCGAATCAAGTTAGCAACACACGTTGAACAACCTTTTCATTGTAAATTCCGTTCTCTTAATGTCTATTTGGTCCAACGTTGTTGAATTAGAGAAGAGGGGCTTCTAAACGGGATTGTATGCGGGGGTGGAGGGAGTTAAATATTAGATAAATATAACTTTGGTGCGTGTAAGAGTGAGTGTTTTTAGCAGAGCCATATTGTGTCCTTGTGATTATGTTGATTATTACCTGTCTGTATAATGTTGCAGCTCAGCTGATTTTGGATTGATGGCAAAGGGAGAGGGACTTAAGTGAGAGTGAAAACACAAGGTAAGTTTAATACTACTGTTTTATATAAGTAAACACCTTATCTCCCCAAGGCAATTTCCCATCCAATAGGTGTGCTATATAGGTGTGTATAACCCTTTCTCCTGTCTGTTACTCCCTCTTTCAGCACAAGAACCAGAGGGGGATTCAATGGAGCCTGAATACCTGCACTGAGACCCTCACCCTGCACCCTGAGTCTCAACTCTGTGTTTTTCAAGCCTTTCCCTGTTTTTTTGTATTAAACAAAACATTAAGCTTTCCCAATGGTGTGGTTTTCGTTTTGTGAAAAAGTGCAAATGCAGTGTTTGTATATAATTACATCATATCTTTTTTTGCTGTTGGTCGTGAAATTGCTCCTGCTGACTTGAGCCAGCCATTTTTTCCTTCGCTCCGTGTCAGTGGGGAAGCCGTACATTCGTACTCCTTTCTCGGAGCGACTTGAGCATCCCCAGGCAGCACAGCAAACCATGGTGGCGACTAGGAGGCAGCACAGCAAACCAGGACAACACGGAGGAAAAGGCACAGACAAACTGCATGATATGCTATTCAATGTTTATTGAATTCCATGTATTTGCAATGGATGTTCCTAAAACAACACATTTAACATCATCATCATGCTGCTGCTGCTGCTAGTCCTTTGATAGTCACCTGTCGGTCTCCTGTCCTTTCTGAAAGCCATAAAGATGACATTAGTCATTTAGATAACTTGTGTCCTAAATTACCAGGGGATTACTGAAACTACCATGAATTTAAGAAAATGGTAGACATTAATCTAATCTGAATTTTAAAGCATTACTTTAGATCCCCTCCCTCTAAATATATCAATAAACATTAGAAAGTGATGCTCCTGACTACCATACAAGTTTAAGAAGATAATATTGGTTTTAAAGAATTCAAAGCTATAAATAAACAGCAACAGGCTCTTTAACCAAGGCACTGTTAGCCTACCATGTAAACTAGTTGTTCACACTAATCCTAATATTATCACTTAATATTAGCAAATTCTATTTTATTTTTTAAAACATATTGATGTAAATACATACACATATTGATTTGTTGTATAAATATTGCAAATCAAAACCTTTATTCACTAATAATTACCAAAAATCGTAGTTCTATCTCCTGTTATCAATGCATTCACATTGCCCGCCATGAACTTCCGGGGAACGATCTTCGTCTACATGAACCACGTGACGATAACCGTTTTTGGACTTCCGTAACTCTTCTATCTATATATGGCGCTGGTTTACAGTAACTTCTGATAACACAGGGGAAATAAACGAGGCATCTCTTTTCCTCTCTCTCTCTCCCTCTCCTGACAGCCCGTCAGTATCATGGTTAGTCAAAATGAATCCCTTGGCGGTTCTAGTGTTAATTTACCGTTTTGTCTTCTCTTTGCAATGCTTAATCGATTTGAAACCAAGTCTAACGTAGCTTAAACTTAACTTTAGCTTTCTAGCTAACACAACACATGCACGTACCTTTCTCTGTGGTTTTTTTGTAGTGACGAATGAAGTTGGATGTTGTGGTGGTTGTGTCACTGATCTTTATACTGCAGACCCTGCATTCTTTCACACACAGTGACGTCACGAGCTACCCACAATGCAATGCGCGCCATATATCTATATAGAAATACGCCATTTTCCTGGAGGTGCTAATATAAACAGCTAGGTAATGTAGCCAGGCAGAGCGCACTAGGTTTTTTTTCTGAATTAACGACCGAATAAATCGCTGCATGTCTTCGGATTACATCTCTGGACTTGAGGGGTGTGCTCTAGGTCGTTACCAGCGTAAACTAGAGCTGTGTGGGTTTTCCGATTGCCCTTAAAGACTGCCTGCAGATGTATGGAAAAACGACTCTCGAAAGTGGCCTTCGGTCGATTTTGGCAGCATCTACGTCTATCTTCTAGAAACACCAGGTGAATACCCCACTTGTCACAATAATATTATCATGCCAATGCATATATGTGGTATTTTAGAGTTGACTAGATATTGATTAAGGCAATAGACTATGATATTCTGCTAGCACCTCGCGTGAAATGGTGGATACCGGAAGTACGGTGTCGCCCTCGGCCCAAAACCCGTATGTGTGTGTGAAAGAATATCGCTGTTCTCTTCTTATTACCGTCATCGACAAAATAATCCTTGAATCCAAACTTCACTATTTTTGGAGTAAAGCTAGCCGCTGCCATGTTAACTGAGACTCCTACCTTCTAGTGGGTTGCCAGGTTTGCGCGCATGGTGCTATAATCACCTTTTTCTAAAAAACTAAACGTAATATCTCACTACAAAAACAAACGCAAATATTTAATTTTAAACAGTCAAGTCCTTTCAAGTCATCCATCTCAAGCTGAAGTCAAGTCCCAAGTAATGAATACCAAGTCAAAGTCAAGTCTTTTATCAATGTTAGTCAAGCAAGTCTCAAGTCAAAAAATATGCGACTCGAGTCCCCACCTCTGCTTATCACAGACTGGGCTCTGGTTTCAGACAGAGGGTGAAAAGAGGTGCTGCAGCACAGGCAGTGTGGGAAAAATAAAGAGCTTTTTGAACCTTAAAGCATGGAAACACGTCACAGTAGAGACACAACATACCTTTAAGATTAGGATTCAAAACGAAGACAAAGGTTGATAAGTAAAAATCTTTGCAATTTTATTTGCATATAAAGGCAGCTAAATATATCACAATGAACTGAAAGAGAGAACTAACATTTCCATGAAGAGGGATACAATCAGAGAAAGAGCGAGAGAGGAACAGAGCACGGGAAGAGCATTTACAGCGGCAAAGTTGAGACAACTATTGGCAACATTTTTTTTGTGCTAGCAAGATTGCATTTACACACAGTGCAAAATTAGAAAAAAGAAAAGCAATAAAACACAAATACTATCAGATGTACACTTTAAAAGGACAGCTTTACCAGGTTTAGGCAGGCGTGTTGTTGGGAGCAACCAGCACCTGTTGGATTGTGACTGACAAATGTTCCTCTCTCATCCAAAATGAAAGTCTACCCTACTGGCAGAGTCCATACAAAAAACATTAAAGAAAGAGCGTCTGATGGGAGCATTAAAGAAACAAGTCAATTATACTGGTGCATACAGAAGAAAATGCACCAGATTTTCATTTTTTTTTGTCAAACACTACTTTTAGTACAGATGTTTTACAACATGAATATATAATATATATTTATATATATATTTTATACATACATTTTCCAAATTAGATCAGAAATCCATAATGGGATGTTACAAAGTTAATTTTAAGGGCTGTAATTTGATAGCTTTCTGTCCCTGCGTTGGTCAGGTGTTGTTTTGCGGGTAATAAATAAGGACTTTTCTCTGAGCTCGCAGAGAGTGGGGCTCTAGCTGAAACATTAAAGCTAGTTTAAGGCAGCGTCCCTGTCAGCCAATAAGAAAAGAGGAACTGACGAGAGAAAAAAAATAGATCTAAACACAAAATATCAGATGATACAACATAAAACAATGGCATCCATTGTCCGGCCAATGCAAACCAAACAAAGAAATTGTACAAATTCACAAAGCATCATTTATCTTACAGATCTGACCAATATTTATCAAGAGCAAGATTGTTTAACCACAAAATCCCCCAGCAAAGGAGAATACCGGTGTTGCTTGCAGCTCTGTTTCAAATTCAACCAAATTTATTTGACATTGCATACATGTAGACTTTGTCACTACTTTTTTTTTTTTTTTTTATAAATATGATTTTTCCAAATTAACAAAGACATGATGGTACTAGGGTATGGAGGGGACAATCATGTTGATATCCCTCATGATTCGCCTGTCATTATAACATTTACTTTTTTGTGACAATCTAACAGCTTATGTCAGAAACGTAAACTTGAGTTAAAACCCCCAACACAAATATTAATTTGTTAAAGAAATAATGTGTGAAAAAATGAGCTTGTTTTGTAGAAAATAACTTTATGAAACCTTAATCAGAGAAAAATGTTTCCTAAAATCATTGCTCTCCTCAGATAATTTCCTGGATGATGTTGTCACTTTTACTGGTATTTGTGAAGTGATTACAAGAAACCCGGAGATACCAAAAATGCTAACTTGCATGATGCAATTCTCAGAATGAATGAGATTAAATAACGTTGTTGTTCCTCTGGAGAAGAACAAACCCTGATATCTGCCACCACGCTGACGCAGGAAACAAGTATTGTTATTTGGAAACAAAAACACCGGGATTCTCCTTTGACCCTCCCCGACAAACCCCCGCCCCACATCTCCACATCTTCTCAATCTCAACAACAGCTTGGAGAAGACCAAAAAGTTTGCAAAGAAACACTTAGAATTTTTTTTTTTTAACTTGACATATTTATAGAAAAAAAAGGAGTTTATGGTGCCCTGGCCCCTCCCCGCCCCCTCCTCTGGTCTCAGGAGCTGGAGGGGTTGGGCAGATCGAACACGATGGGGGGGTTGGTGGGCTGGAAGCTGACGGTGCAGGTCGATGAGTTGACGAACGTCGTGAAGCCGTCTGTCATGATCCCATAGCCTGAGGGGGGGGGGGGGGAGGAGACAGACGTCAGCAACAGGAAACATGCAACACTATACACTCAGTGAGGACAATTCTGATAAAATCATTCCACCAAATCTGTCATTTTTGTGCTAAATATATTTATTTTACTTAAATGTACTCTTGAAATTCAATATTTTCTTAAGAAATATTAAGTTCATCTGCTTTTTTTTTTTTAATACATTTTCTCGTTTAGGGTTATCTTTATTCTCAGTACCTTCGTGTATGCCTCCGAAGGCATGAAGTTTGGGCCGCACCCTCTTCTGCACCGTGTTGAGCAGCTCCACACAGCCGACCCGCTGCAGCTCCTTAGGAACCCAGTCTCGGAAACCTACACACACAGACATGTTAGGAGGTCAGGACGTCTCAGTTCCAAAGACTGCTCGATGTATGGGAATGCAACACGTGACCTTAACTACGTGGGTTTAAAATAAAGCAGCAGATAATCTGACCATCAATAAAGTAAAACAGTGACGAGCAAGAACCTCTAATTTTTCCTTAAAATTAGTTATTTAGGTGAGCTGAACTTTAATGAGGCCAAACTCTTTGTGAGCTGTTCTTCGAGTTTTAAGGGATTCCAATCTCTTTTTCTGAATCTGGTTGTTATTCATTCCTGGCTCTGATTCCTATTGTACGTGTTTTTTTTTTGTTCTGAGAAAAAAAGTCATAATTCTGACTTTAATCTCAGAATTCTGACTTTTTTCTCAGAACAATTTTTTTTAAATTTAAAAGTGAGAATTCTGAGATTAAAGTCAGAATTATGACTTTAAAAAAAAAAATCCTACCAAAAAAAAAAATCATGTGGCCCTAATCCTCTTCCGTATACGTGACATTAGAAATGTACTTTATAATTTGTATTGTTACAAAAATCTTCTTTATTTAGGCTTCAATATGCTATCACTTGTCCTAAATGCCTACGTTTTTGTTATAAAGTAATAATTAAGAAACAGATATTCTCTTATATCTTGCTACATACATGCTCAAAGTCTCTCCTGCTGAAAATGCTTTGTTATATTGGACTTCCTCTCCTGCATGAAGTGCAATAATTATATTTTGCTTAATCAGTTCTGACCTAATGAAGCAAACTTGAGGTCTAACTGAGGTCAGCCACAGCTGTTTTTTATATTTTGGCAGTGTTTTCGCCCGTTTAGAACCAACCCTTGATACTCAGTGAATGAATAAACACCACTACTGTTTACTAGCCTTTTCCCCTTTTCCTGAGTTTACCAGTCAAACACATTCTTGCTGATGCAACTCGTTCTTCAGATTGTTTTGTCTTTTGTGCAACCCTTATTTTTTATTCAATTTGTTTTGTCTGCTAGATTTGGAAAGCCCTCCTACATCTTCAACATCCCCCCCCCCCAGCTCTCTCTCCAATCGTTTGCAGCGTCTGTCACATTGCTGCAAAATCGAGTTTCCATGCAATCAAACCGCCACAGCGGCGGCCGCAGCAGCAACCCTTCGTAGGCGAGAGGAAATCACTCAATAAAGCCAGATGAAGAGCGCAACAGCAAAAAAAAAAACTGGGGCCCAAACAACTAGAAGGAAAACTGAATCAGTGTGAAGTGAAAACAAAACAATATGGATTTTGTATTTCATAAAGTCAAACACAAATATTAAATCTGACTCTAGATACTGCTGGATTTAAATGAAAACAGTGTTGACTTTAGCGCACACACATCTCCACACACCGCCTGCAGTGACTCCATACAGATTTGGAATAATGAGGCACAACCTCATTAGATATGGTGATGAGTGGGCTGTGATTGGTTAATTGGACTCACCGAGCGGAGGTCCGTGGGTCATCAGGATGTCAATGCCTTCAGGGACGAGGTTCCATTTATCCAGCAGAGACTGACCCCGAGGCAAGTTGAACCCCCAGCCGTTGAACCACGGAGTCCTGCAGAGACGGAGGGAGAGGGATCACATTAACACTGAGACTCCACCATGATTACGGCACAGAGATCAATTGATATCTGGGAGCAAAATGTATTTCTGAATTTACGCATATCCCTTTCATCTTGCTATTTCTTAAAAGCGGCAAGCAACTCTTGTTTTAAATGCTTACTGTTATGTTTTGTGTCTTTATTAAATAGATGTACTTCATCCATTCACTTCTTGAGACGTTGATGCATGTTCAAGTTTTTTTGTGCTAGGTTTTTCCGAGTTTAAATAGGTAACATTTATAAATGGTAAATAAATACTGTAAATGTAAGACATTGTATGCAATGTAAACAATGCAAACGTAACACTCAGGGATACACTCAATGCATTTCGGTGTGCGACATTGAACCTAACAGCTTTGGTTCTGTAACACATTTGATTGGTTAGCTGTGGACAGTACAACCAGATGTAAACAGAAACTTGACATATTGTCACCCTAAACATGTGTTTTAGCAAAGAGTTTATAATTCACACATCCACAAGAGACAGAGCAACATAAGCATGAATTCACCAGCAGGAAACTCCCTTTACACTTAAAGCAGGAAGTGAAAATACACAAGGGTTACATTTGAAACAAGCACCTTTGAATGGTCGGACTGTTTGGTTTGACGCACCCTATTGGTTAGAAGAAGCTTTCAATTCAAAGAGGCATGATCAAGTTTAATTAATTTAAGAAGCCAGAAATATACGACTGACTGCCCAGGCCTTCTGGAAAAAAGTAAAGTAGTGAATTTCTAAGCAGCAGGGAGCCACATCATGTGTCATCCCCCATCCCCACTGCTACTCAGGCTGCAGATTGATTGACAGCAGCCGGGCCACCTCCGGCAGCCTGGATGGGAGTCTGCAGCTCGGGGGTGACAGGCAGCGCCTCAGCCTCCCCAGCAGACACAAAGGGAGCCCGATGTGGCTGAGTGGGAATGAGGGATGGATGGATGGATGCAGGGGGGTGAAAAACGGATGAAGAAATAAAGCGTGGAGGTTGGATACAGGAGCGGGGGATTCCGAGGGGAGAAAAATAAATCGAGTGGAGGCTGGTTGATAAATTGAGCCTTCATTTATCACAATAGTTGTAATGGCAGAAGAAGGTTGACAAGAGAGGAAAGGAAGATAGATTATCAGCACATCATTCCTCAGTATATAAGCTGACCTACTGCAAAAAGCCCAGAAAGAAATCCTTTCATTCTAGTTTTGCAGCAGAAGAGGCGCTGATGAAAAGATGATTTCCACTCTTTTATTCCCAGGTTACTTCGGGACAGACCGCTGAGTTCGGAGAACTTTCCGGTCACTTAGCGATGGTGCTGCGGATGCTATTTGACCGAGGGGAAATCAGGGCTCCACAAACATCAATAGGCTTTGTTACAGTGAGGGATAGCTGCTCTGGCGCTAATCAATACTCACTGTTCCACAGGAGGGCCAGCCTCAGCACACTCTAGATGTGTAAAACATCTCGACCCCTCCTGGTTTTTAAAACACTAGCAATCTCTCAGCTCAAAATAAAACAGACAAAAAAATTCAGCGTAGTGAGAGAAGAGAGCATTCTAAGAACTGCCTCAGCCAGTTTGGGTCTGGTGCTTGAACAATATTGAGTGTTTGCGCGCTTCACAAAAAAATGAGGTAATGGCGGCGGACCTGAAGCTCTGTCTTTGATTTGCTCGCTCAGTCGTTGCCTCGTTCTCTCGCTCGGTGGAGAGCTGAGAAATTAGGTTAGAAATGAAATGTGAGGAGTGCACAGGGGAGTGAAGGCCACAGACTGAACTGATTAATTAGAACTAATCACACAAATCGGAGCTAATGGAAGTCTAATGGATTACTGGGAAGGCTCGCCACTTCACGGATGGATCTAGCGCTGCTGTGGAGGAACTCGGAGAGTGGTGAATCAGAGCCGAGCTGGCCAGGTCTGCCGGCTGCACACGGGCAGGCTATTTGTCTGGCGCTAGTTTTGACTAATCGCAACAAGGCCATACTTTGAAAAATGGCAAACGCATTTATTTCCCCCCCATTCAGAGAAACGAAGTGTGGTTTCAGGCAGCACAAATAAATAAATAGCTGCAACGTTGAATTTGCTCCGTGTTTCACATGTTTTCCCCTGCATAAACACATTCATCAGGGAGATGAAACATAACCCCTGACATGAGCCGAGGATCCGCAGCTAGCCAAAAAGGTCCTGACTGCATGCAGAGCGAGGCGCTGCAGCTCCACGCCACAATGGCCCCCATTGTCGGCTGTCTGCCTATGAAATATACCTTCCATGCAAGTGCATTTGTTAACCTCCGCCAAGATTAATGACATCCCGGTCACATAAAGGAGAGATTGTTTCCTGTGTGGCTGTGACACAGGTTTTATTATACTGTACTGCAGAGTGTGTGTGTGTGTGTGTGTGTGTGTGTGTGTGTGTGTGTGTTGGGCAGAGTGGACGTCCACCAGCATCTGAGTAGGATGAAGTGTTGAACAGAATGTACATTGCCAGTGTCTCAGTCTGTTCTCAGAGTGTGAAAATGTAGATCAGCTTGTATGTGTGTGTGTGTGTGTGTTTGTGTTTGCGACTACATTCGAAGCAGAGTCTTTCCTTGACACTCGCCATCTGGAGCGCGTCGCTGTGGCAACAAAGGAGAAGCGCCTGGAGGCAGGCACAGTGGGAAGTAAAACACAGATCACGGAAATAGAAGTAGAAGTAAGAGAAGCAAGAAAGAATAAGAAGAGGCGTAAAGAACGAGGTAAGACGTAGTCATGTGGTCATGTGGTCATGTGGTCATGTGGTCATGTGGAACCACGCCAGACGATGGTTTCAAGAAATACAAAAATAAAACTTACTTTAGGAAATATTTTTTAAATACAAAAATGCAGCTTCAAAATGACGTGAAGCCCGTAACCATGGTAACTGGGACATGTAACGATTTCTCCCCCACTCCCCCCCTGGGAGTCAAACAGTGGAAACGGGTTCAAATGTGCAGCCTGGGCCGGCAGCGGAGGTGAAGCAGACAGAAGCCATTTAGCCCTCTTGTGCAGAACGTCAATATTCAATTAGGCTGGTGGACATCATTAGGACGGCGGGGCAGCGTCTCTCTGGGCGTGACACCGCTCTTAACCCCTTACACACCACCCCCCCCAACCTACTCTCTCTAGGTCCCTAGACAGAATATTATACCCCCTAATAATACACACACGCACAAAAATGCATTGTTCCTCTCATTACGCCCATTTAATCCGACTCCTCCCCCACTTGATGGATCATTTAAACAATTTTCTTACACCTCACTGAAGTGTCTTTGACGTTTTTGTGTCAGTGACCCAGAAATGACATGCTGGGTGCCATGGTCTTGTAATGAAAGTGTATTGTACTGATCATCATCATAAGGCGGTACTATTTTAATGAATGATGTTATTCAAATGAATTGGATTGAAAAACAACACAGGTAAAACCCCGACTCTTATCAATAACGTCCTGATACATTAAATAAAACACTGATCCCAAACCCCTGATCAAACTGAGGTTACATATTCTCAATATTTGTCTTTTTACCCGCTCTAACCTGCTGTTTCTTTACTGCCTGGCTTTCTCCCTCTACAGTATGTGCACCACACATTCAGGTCAGCCTCTCTTGTACCCTGTTCCTGAACTACACAAACACACACAGGTTCTTTCATTTACCCTGTGCAGGCAGACTGTTTACCAAACAGGGTGCAGACTCTCGGTGTGTCTCATTCAACACACACCTGAGACCCAGGAGAACAGACCCCACAACACACACTCTGAAAAGAGGAGGCACATACCGTCTGACTGTTTGTACCATTACCGCTGTAAAGACCCTGACAGTATTCATTTCTACAGCCTAAAAACTTCCTGTGTACAAGTGAAACCCCTCCCCCAAAAAACTAATTATCGAGGAAATGTGTTTAAATCCAAAGAAATTTGAAAGGGAACAACACACACATGCACACAGATACATGTCCCTGCACGGCGAGACGGAGCGCTGTGTCTGTGTTTTGGTCGTGTTGACAGCAGCGATAAGATCGAAGCATGTCTCAGGTAGAGTATGAACCTCCACCTAAAAGCCACAGAACAGTTGCACCCTGGGATATCAGGAACAAGCCCTACCGTGACCAGCCCAGAGATAACAGCAGAGAGAGGGAGAAGAGAAGGAGAGTTGAGAGAGTGTGTGTACAGGTCCAGCGATCCATCCTGTCTGACCTCTGAGTCAGAGCGGCCCCGGGGTCAGCGGGGGGAGGGGTCTAATTGATCAACCTGTCAGAACCAATGAGGAGGGCCATGTTAATGGGACTTTTATAAGCCCCGCGGGACGCACCACCTGACCCTCAGAGCTGTATGAGTATGTGAAAAGCATGCAGTGTATGTACTGTGTGTGTGTGTGTGCGTGCGTGCGTGTTTGTGTAATCCCACAGCACAGCTAGCCTTATTAAAAGGAGCCAAGTGGAGACTCTGGCTGGGTTTTGACAAATGGCCTCTCAACACCAAGGCCACCTTTGCAAACTTTGGGGACGAGGTAGAAGGCGAAGTCACAAGGGTGAAGGGGCCGTGTATGTAGGAGTGTGTGTGTGTTTGTGTGCTCCAGCACTAATAACATGTGCCTAGTGACTGATGGAGTGTGCAATGGATTAATCTCGCTGCAGACATGCTGCCAAACGCAGAGGCGCTAAGGGTTAGCAACCGGACTTGGCCCGCTTAGGAAAGGCTACAACCACAGGGACGAGTTGTTTCAAACTCACACACTTACACACACATTCACACACTCTTTCTCCCCAGGGTGTCTCTCCACGCTGAGATACAGCCAGCTGCAGTTTGACCTGCAGGCCCTAATGTAAAACAACCGCTGCATCAGCCAGCAGACGCTCCGCAGCACACACAACTGTGCCGGCAGCTTCCAGCCATCACTACATGCAGGTCTGAGAGCAGCACAGAGAGAGGAGTGAGAGGAAGAGAGAAGAAAAGGGCAAGAG